AGGGGGGAGGGGGGGTGATGATGATGTCACTGGGTGGGGGTCATCTCTCCCCCCCGTTTTGAGAATATGTTGTTTCTTGTTTCTCTGTGACCACGGACCAAACCACCCCGGCCCTGAATTGGGCCCAGAGCCGGTGGTTGGAGACCGTTGTTTTGACGTTTATTTATAGAACACTTCCCCCACACACCCACCTGATGGCGCCAAGCTTCTGGTACTCCTCCTGGATCCTCCTCTCTGACATCATCTCTCTCCTGGTTTTACGTTTCTTACTCAGGGAACAGGTTTCCCTGAAGCTGAACACACACACACACACACACACACACACACACACACACACACACACACACACCTGTAATTAATGAAACCCTCCAGGAGGGGGCACTCTCTCCCATCAGTGACTCCAGACGGAGGAGAAGGATATTTGACAATAAATTTGTTTTGTTTTTTTATTGACCACCAGGAACCGCTGACCAGAGGGGGGCGCTCATGCTCAATGACACTCACTTGCAGCCAAGGAAGAGGAAGTGCAGCCAGAGCCAGGTCAGGAGCAGCATGATGAGGGCGATGGGGAAACTGAAGATGAACCAGGTGCCAAAGTTGACCTCCTTAGCCTCTGGATATCGACTGGAGAGAAACACCAGCTGTGACATTAGTGACCGGAACCCATCAGGGCAGCGGGGAACACCACAGTATTGTCCTCCTTCAATACATCAACCAGTGTAGTGGTGTGTGTGTGTGTGTGTGTGTGTGTGTGTGTGTGCGCCCACGTGTTGAACTGCTCTGCGAAGATGAGGTTGGTGGAGGTGCCGGTGATGGTGATGAGTCCTCCGATGGTGGCGGCGTAGGTGATGCTGAGGGACAGACATTTACAGATCATGTGATCTCTCTTGGTGGGGTACTGGGAGTCCCGTCTGGTCTTCACTCTCTTCACGTTGGGGATTCTGACCTCCACCTGCGACACAGACACCGCTCCACGGTTTATCTCCCTCGTGTTTCCAGGACTGACCTCCAGAACGGCGCCCACCTCTGGCAGGTGTCCGTTGGCGTGTCTCGTGACGTCCTGGTGGGACACTGGTCTCAGGTCCAAACCGTTGGTCGCCCCGCTCTGAGAGAGAGAGAGAGCAGAACAAACGGTGGTTTAACATTGACCAGTCAGGGCGCCGGCGTCGCGTG